TCATTCTTCAGTACTTCATCAACAAGTTCCTCATACTTCAGCACTTCATCAACAAGTGCTTCATTCTTCAGCACTTCATCAACAAGTGCCTCATCCTTCAGCACTTCATCAACAAGTGCCTCATCCTTCAGCACTTCATCAACAACTGTCTCATCCTTCGTCACTTCAAGTCAAAGTGTCTCATCCTTCGTCACTTTAGGTCAAAGTGCCTCATCCATTGGCACTTCAGGACAAAGTGCCTCATCCTTCAGCACTTCATCAACAAGTGCCTCATTCTTCATCACTTCAGGTCAAAGTGCCTCATCCTTCGTCACTTCAGGACAAAGTGCCTCATCCTTCGTCACTTCAGGACAAAGTGCCTCATCCTTCATCACTTCAGGTCAAAGTGCCTCATCCTTCAGCACTTCATCAACAACTGTCTCATCCTTCGTCACTTCAGGTCAAAGTGCATCATCCTTCGTCACTTCAGGTCAAAGTGCCTCATCCATTGGCACTTGAGGACAAAGTGCATCATCCTTCAGCACTTCATCAACAAGTGCCTCATCCTTTGGCACTTCAGGACCAAGTGCGTCATCTTTCAGCACTTCATCAACAAGTGCCTCATCATTTGGCACTTCAGGGCAAAGTGCCTCATCCTTCAGCACTTCATCAACAAGTGGCTCATCCTTTGGCACTTCAGGAAACGAAGTTTGTAGTCTGTAAAATCAAATTTGCACGAGTTCAAAAATTATGAAGTACCTCCTATTGATAAATATCAAAGGAGAAGTCTCCACATGGATGAACCATCTACCATGTGGGGAAGCGTGGGCTCTTTGGAGAAGAGGATCGGTCCCAAAAGGGATTACCTCATTGGCTCTCCAAGGCAGACATCACAAGCCTCCCATAACGAGGCTGAACGTCATGGAAGAAGCCTCCACATGGATGAACCATCCACCATGTGGGGAAGCGTGAGATCTTTGGAGAAGAGGATCAGGTCCCAAAAGGGATTACCTCATTGGCTCTCCGAGGTAGACATCACAAGCCTCACATAACGAGGCTGAACGTCATAGGAGAAGCCTCCACATTGATGAACCATCCACCATGTGGGGAAGCGTGGGCTCTTTGGAGAAGAGGATCAGGTCTCAAAAAGGGATTACCTCATTAGCTCTCCGAGGCAGACATCACAGGCCTCCCATAACGAGGCTGAACGTCATGGGAGAAGCCTCTACATGGATGAACCATCCACCATGTAGGGAAACGTGGGCTCTTTGGAGAAGAGGATCAGGTCCCAAAAGGGATTACCTCAT